TGAATAGCTCTATTTCCTACTGTATATTAGGCTTAGGCGTTCAATTATCCCGAATGGAGATATCAGCACCGAATAGGGATGTCAGCGGTTCTAGAGCCGCGGTTCTAGAACCGCAAGAACCGTTTTTTTTACGGTTCCAGAACCGCGAGAACCGCTTCGGGCAGAAGCTGATTTTGGGACCGAATCGAGAGCGACATTTTCGTAACTATTGGTACGCAGGCCTACAGATATATCGTCCTCGACGTGTCAGCCGGGGATCCTTCGCGGCGCGCAGAGCGGGGATACGTGCACCCGAAGTGCGAAGAGATACGTTGGCGAAAGCGGGGAAAAGTTTTTGGCAGCCGCCTTTGTTTGTTCAAGGGGTCGTGGAGGCCACCAGTGGTTCCCTGCTTGAGTGTGAGAAACCGTCGGACGCATCGGATGAGCCCCGATAAACCTAGGGAAGACATCGTTCGAGAATCTCATGTGAAAAGTATATGTTGCGAACAATTGCAAGTTCTGAATTTGTGCGTTTCAAGGATGGAAATCGTGAATAAAGACGACCATCGTCTCCATCCTATAGCATCTCTTCCTTTCGAATTAGATAAGTACTGCGATTCGATAGCTCCGTGACGTCAATCAGGACGGGGTTGAGGCCTCTAACTCCTCTATCTCCTCACTTCGTGCCACAAGATTTTATCGGCTGTCCTGCCAACCTCGGTCCACCCGGATCGCGATTTTAGTATTGCTCGCCTGCTGTTAGGAGAGGACCGCGCGAGGCTGAAACCGAGCACGCTGGACAGCATATTCATGCTGCGGAAAGCATACGAATTCGAAGGCTTGTGGAATGTGCGGAAGGAATCAAGTTCGAGCCGAATAGTGTGGCTTGAATCATCATAAAATTCATTGAAAGAGACTTCATCCTAGAAGCGATACATTTTGCTATTCATTCACGCACGGACGTCTCCTCTGAGGAGGCGAGAGCGTCGAAAATTTGCAGAGAAACAGTATAGAAATCGATCGGTAGCGGAATCGCGGCTCTCCCGGCGCGGATCTCAGAGAACCGCGAACCGCGGTTCTCAAAATAAAATAATAATTTGACATGCCTAGCACCGAATGACACTTGAAAACATTGCTTTCATCTTCAGTTCTGTCGAGACTCCCGCGAGAGAGCATGGTAGGAGCACGTCATCATGTAGAGCTCGTCATAGGCACGTCGGGCAACAACATTCTTACACCGCTGACGCGAGTCCGACCACGAATCAGGAAAAAAGAGCATAGCTCCACCGAGTGAATGCGAGACTCTCAACTTGATCCTGGATGTTCGGACTCGACACCCTCTAGGTGGGAATCGGTATCCGTCGCTTGGAGTCATGGTGGGCGGTAGTTATCGCGATTGGTGAGCGAGATCGTCGTGGCAACCCTCGCAACTTCGTCTCATGACGTCTCACCTCGCAGATCCCAAGGGGCCTGAGCAATAACTCAGATCGGACCTGGTCCGTCTACGCTGCCGAACATTTCGCAGTGAATCTCCTGAATATCTCAACGCTTGAGCAACAGCACCGGGAAGTCAGAGCATGTAGAGTTACGCGGTGAATGAAAATGCCAAACACTCGGTCTAGGATGAGGATAGAGGAGAGTGGGTAGATCTATACGCTTCACGAACCTGTCCTCGGCGCAGAGGTCGAGCAGCCCGGCGAAGATAATTTTTAATTGTGCTCGACAAGACGTAGGAAATGCGAAGAATTTCTATACATTTCTAAACTTCGTCATCAAAGCATCAAGAAGCTGGATTCACTCGGCCCATCCTCCGATTGAGGGGATCGAGATCGGCAATGACCAGTCGCTGGTTGCCTCCTTTATATCCGGAGACGAATCTTAAGAAGGGGAGGGAGGCCGCGGGGAGCGATTCGGGGTCCTCTACGTCAGAGACAACGCTCTCGATTCCATAGAGTCAATGCCGTGTTTATTCATGCAGAGCATCGGATGCTTCCGGTTGAAAACTTTCGTTTTCATCGTCGAATTTATTCCAGGTCAATGGATAATGGATCCATGGAGGAGGAGTTGAGAGAAAGAAGGAGGAAGGAGAGGAGGAGAAGAGCGAGAGGAGAACCTTGACCCCGGAACCTCCTCCGATCATCAAGGTCATCGCTGTGATTGAAGGGATGATGAACCCAAGTTCCCCTGATGGTTGCGTGTGATGATTCCTCTTCAGTCTCGCCTCCTTCATCAGCGGGTAACAGAAGCTCTCGGAACCTCTGCGGAGGATAGGGGTCCGTCATGCGTCCAATTATATACCTAGCTCAAGGCAGCTCTCGCTTTGATCATCCTTAGATGGAATAATCAGATCATCATTCTTCTCGACGTTATCTGTCACTTGTGAGATTACCCGTTCCGTATCGTCCCTGAGTTCTCTATGCCTAGAGAGAGCAAATGAATTAAACTATGATTCCGAGTCACTCATTCCGATCCGAAAACTTCATCTGATAGGATAAGAAGTGAGCTTCTTCGAACAAGGAGGAGCTCGCTCTTGATTGGGAAACTTTTTCGGGAATCGTCGAGCCCCCAAGCAAACGAAGGGCTTTCTGGAGTCTTCCTCGGTATGTGACTCGAGATCGGTCGATGCTCGACGCAGGAAGCAAAAGAATCGCTCAATCGATCATCCCACTGGTATTTGTTTATTCAGTAGTATCCTGTTATATTACCTCTTCCGTCCAGTGACTCTCCAGTTATAATTTCTCTTAATTGCTATAGTTCGCGTTAGTGCCGAACTTGTCGGAGACCTGCTTAAGGATGCGAGCCACCGACTTGGCGGCTCGTTCCTCATTTAGGTCCTTCGCGGCCGCCGCGAGCTCCGAGCTCACGGCGGCTAGGCTCTCGATGGCGTCCAGGACCATTTGACTCCGCGTCAATTCTTGGAAAGACACGGAGGCATCAAGCACTTCGTCCATGAAGTCCCTCTTGAGTTGGAGAACAGCGACGACAAAAATAATCGCGCAAATTAATATACCTATGACAAGGACGAAGCAGGCCTGTGACGCATATCTAGGTAGAATTTATATGCTTCAATAAAGAGAGAGCCGAGAGACGTCGTGCCATGGTCAGGTTCGCCGAGGCGCGGGGCAGCCCCGACGTGCAACGTGCAGCGGCGGACGTTCAGCGTCAGTTGAGAACCAACCGTCGACCGAGACGGTGAGAGAGACCACGACGGCATCGGCAATTTAACCGAAATTCAGTTTCGTATTCTTTCCGACGCCAAACTGTGGCTTCATATGGTGGCAGCGGAAACCAAGACAAGGATCAGCACGTTAAGAAGTGGTTCCAGACCGAGATTCCAGATCGCCCGCTCCAGCCAGCGACTTCGGATAACGGCGGAATCGCGCAAGCGGTCCGACAGAAGTACAGAAGAAATACGCAGCGATAGGAGTAGCTTCAAGCAGCTCGACCCGAACACCAGGGCATCCAGTGCATTTTCCGGAGTTTGAGACTCGAGAACATCTCAGCTCCCAGCAGAGTGCCCATCCATTGGCAAGCGTCGTCCGGCAGCTCAGACGCCAGAACGCAGTCACGTTCCGTCCA